CCACACAAACACTGTAGCACAAGTAACAATTTAAAAAGAAGAAAATTACTAACATCAGTTTCTTAAAAATTGTTCAGTGGATTTTGATTTGGATCATAAATCAGAATAGAATTTCAAACAATTTATGAAATGTCTTTAAACATAACTTCTGTCATCTTGTACTCTGTGTGTGTGTACGCAAAAGCATTCTCGGCGTTGGTTATAAAATCAAAACTGACCATCTCGAACAGAAGTGCTATTCATCCTACAGCATCAAACAGCCAAGGTGTAATTCGTTATGTAAATGCAAGCACATTTGTTCCATTAGTGTGCAAATTTGCTTTCATCCTTAATAAGCGGTATGTGTATGCCAAAGGATTATTTTGAAATAGATTAATGGCGTATAAGTAAATGTTTGATTTATATACCCATTTTACATATCTGCCTGGAAGCAAGCACATGTTTCTTCAGTTTTTAAGAAGTCCTAGGTAAACCAAGTGGTGGTGTTCCATTCTTTTAATCTCAGCACTTGGAAGGCAGAGGCAGGAGGATCTCTGTGAGTTTGAGGCCAGCCTGGTCTACAGGGTGTGTTCCAGTCAGTCAGGGCTACACAGAGAAACCCTGTCTCAAAAAAATAAAGTCCTGGGTAGTGGTGAAGAGTTTGAGGTCCAGTCTAGCGCCACCGTGTATGTTGTGATACTGGAACATGGACCTTTGGTGCGGGAGAATTGTCTGTATTCTGTCAATCATGTTTTAAATAAACGCTGATTGGCCAGGCAGGAGGTGTAGGTGGGAAAACCAGACAGGAAGTGGAAATGATGCAAGGAAAGCAGGAGAATTCTGGGGAGGAGGAAGTTGATTCCTCCCACTCCTGCCCAGGCCACCGAAGCAGCAGGATGTGAGCTGCCCCACTGAAAAAGGTACTGAGCCACGTGGCTAAAATAGATCAGAAAAATGGGTTAATCAAGATGTGAGAGTCAGTGAGGGGCTAGAGCTAATGGGCCAATCAGCTTTATAAATAATAGAGATCTTTGTGTGGTTTTCTTTGGGCTTGCTGGTTGTGGGGTACTGGGCAGGACAGAAACCCCTAACAAACAAACAGCCCCTCACGTTACAGACCTTAAGTAACTGTAGTCACTGTGCTACCTCTTGCTGGGTGGTGGTGACACACGCCTTTAATCACTGCACCTGGGGGCAGAGGCAGGTGGATCTCTGAGTTTGTGGCCAGGTTAGTCTACATAGTGGATTTCTGGGCCAGTTGGGGCTATTCTGTGAGGTCTGATCTCAAAATTGCTGCCGGAGGGTTTGCATTAGAATGCAGAAGTCTGGGGTTAAGAGCGTTGGCAGCTCTTTCGGAGGTCCAGAGTTCAATTCCAGCAACCACATGGTGGCTCACAGTCATCTTTAATGGGATCTGGTGCCCTCTTCTGGTGTGCAGGTGTATATGCAGAGAGAGCACCATATACATAAAAAAAATCTTAAAAAATGCAACAATGCTTTGAATAGTGCCTGCTCCTCACCATGACCTTGGCGACTGTAGATATCTTCCCTCAATATTGGCTTATATGTCACCTAGGGGTATATTTATAGTAAACAAACCTCCAAATATAGTTTCCATAATTCCGGCTTTTAGGTAAGACATCCCTGCTTTTCTCTGCCTTCTTGTCAGTCATGTATCTCAGTTGAATAAAGAATCAGGGGGCTGGAGAGATGGCTCAGTGGTTAAGAGTGCTGACTGCCCTGCCAGAGGACCCAGGTTCAACTCCCAGCTCACAACTACCTGTAACCCTAATTCTAGGGGAACCAAATCTCTCATACAAACATACATGCAGGCAAAGCACCCATGCAAATGAAATAAAAATAAATATTAAAAAGAATTAGGAATTTTACTGAACATCTATTATGTGTAGGCATTGCTGGGTTAATAAAATATGAATACCCACTAACGACTATCTAAATCTGTGCATTACATCCAGGTGCCTGTCACACACCTGACAGCACTCTGCCACCCTGGGGAGGAGGCTGTGTACTCATTGTCACCTGGCCACTAATTCATAGGACTGGAGGCCAGAACTAAACTGCCTTTTCCCTCCCCCACCCTGAGTGCCTGGGCTCCTGTTCCAAGTCGCTCCTGTTTTGTATGAGAACTTTGTGTATTCAGGTGAGAACTTGAATCCTCTGCGCTCTTGCAAGTAGGTCATATGACTTCTGGCCTGGAGTGGGAATGGAAGTCTACCAGGTGGGCCTGCTTGCCTGCTACTCTCCTGCTCCAGAGGGGTGGAGGCTCCTTACTTAGCTCTATGCCTTACTGTCTGAAAGAGGATGGGAATTGGGAAGAGAACTGTGTTGTGATGGTAAAAACATAGATGCCTGGAGCCTGGGACAGCCCCAATGCACACCTGTCTGCCTCTATGATGTGGGATTTCCCTCTATATACTATGATTATCATTGATAAATAAAGGAACTGCTTTGGGCCTATAGCAGAGCTATAGGGGAACAGAGTTAGGCGGGGTGAGGGGGAGAGGGGGGAACTAAGCTGAATGCTGGCAGAAAGAAGGGCAAAGTCAGAGAGAAGCCATGTAGCCCTGCCGGAAACAGACGGTGGAACTTTTCTGGGTAAGCCACAGCCACGAGGTAAGCCACAGCCACGAGGTAATTCACAGATTAATGAGTTGGGTTAAATTAATATGTAAGGTTAGCTAATAAGAAGCTAGAGCTAATGGGCCAAGCAGTGATTTAAATAATACAGTTTCTGTACCGTGCCAGCACAGTCTGGAACCACGAGTCTCAGCGGAGGGTGTCCAGTTTGAATGAAATCCACAGAGCACGAGGTTGAGGTGAAACAGCAGCTCCTTTATTGGTCTGCTGGGGCTAGCTTTTATACCATGGCACCAAATGGGGAGGGGGTTGCGAAGGGACTGTCACCTGACCCAAGGAGGAACTCTCACCTGACCCCAGTAGGGGTCAAGGACTGATCACTTGCACTCCACCTTCACCTGTCCCCAGTAGGGACTGTCACCTGACCCCAGCAGGGATCAAGGAATAATCACCTGCACTCAAACTTCCTCATCCAACTCCAGGAGCAGAGGGAAGTTAAGGTTCTTTGCAGATAAGCACCTCAAATGGGGGCAGGGAAATATAACTCGGGGTAGCAATTCCCACATTTCTGTGTGATTATTTCAGAACTAAGCAGCCAGGAACTAACTAGCAGCTTTCATACTATACCTCTAGACCTTTTGTGTGGAGAGGTCTCATGTGCCGGGCGATTCAGTTCTAGTCGTGCATCAGAGGCTTGTCTTTGCTGGTCCTCAGTCCAGGTGTGGGATCCTGCTCCCTGGGAGGAAAATCATTGCAACCAGCAGCACTGGGTAAAGAAAACTGGCCCAGGCCTTGCAGAAGCTTCCTGGTCTTGGGGAGAATTTCTCTCCATTCCAGAAGAGAATCTAGGCAGGGAAAGAACAGAATAGGTGGGGCAGAGAGCCAGGTCCCTTTTTTTTGGAGTGGTGGGGAGAGCTTTCCTGGGCTCCCTGGAATGGGCTGAGGGAGCACTCTCCGACCACAGAGCTCAGCATTGTACTTCAGCCAGAGGTGGCCAGAGTCCTGTGTGCTTGGTGGAAAAATAATCTCTGCCTGGTGGACGAAAGAAGTGCCTGTAAATATTTGGTTAGAGCAGGAGGCTGGGAGACAAGGGGCAGATTCAGGGATCTGGGCATGCTGGGCAGGGTTTGGGCAGGGTTTGGGCAGGGTGGGTGGCAGCAGCCTTCTCTCACTGAGGAGGCACAATTAGGCCTCTTCTGCCTGGGCAGAGGCCACCTGACTGCCCAGAGGTGATTTATGGACAAGCGGTCAGGCCACCTGTTAGTGATGCCCCTGTGGAGGGCATTTTATCTGACCCACCTTAGTTCTTGCCAGTGTCCTTTCTGGCCATGCTACCACTTCTGTTTTGCCCAGGTGACATCTTCCCTAGGGAGTACACTTCAGAGCTGGCAGCCAGAGTCCTCCTTCTCCGGGTGGCCACGGCCTTAAGAGGAGCAGCAGGCCTTGACTACTTCTGGTGGGAAAGGCTCTCAGGGTGCCTGCTTCCTGCTCTGTGGACATCTGTCTGATCTTTTCACATCTGCTGAGGGACCCCACCTGGTCCCCACAGTGAGCTCCTTCCAGATGCTGGTCGTTTGCACGGCAGAGGTCTCTCACCTCTAAGCGTTCTCCCATTCCTGCTCCTGGACCTTAAAGTTGCTGTGACCCCCAGGCCTCCCTCTCCCCGCTTAGGTTTCTTTGTCCTGGCAATAGCTCCCAGATACTGCATGCCACTAGGTGGCAAAACTCTGTTTTTTTTGGTGCTTGGCAGAGGTCCTGTTTACATTGCATGGGAGTGGGGTCCAGTATTTGTTAAACGCTCTGTTGATGGGCTAACATTTATGTGTCAAAATGCAGATTCTTGGGTTTGATCCCCAGTAATATTCTAAAAATAATAAAGTAGTTTCCATTACAGCAAGTTGGGTGGAGCCCAACTGTCCAAATTCCCAGGCAAGTACTCTCTCTCTGAGTGGCAGGCATTCCTCAGCCCTCTGAGATTCTGTGTTTTTACTAGTTCCTGGATAACAGGTGCTGCCGGCCCCAGGCACGCTTTGAGTGGTGTCAATCTAAAGTATCTGTCACCTGTATGTCAGGACCAGTGTCCAGGAGTATTTGGGAACCCCAGGGGAGAGGGACGTTGTTCCCTGTGGCTCGGCCTTCTTAGACCCTTCTGACCTGGAATAGCTGAGTAGGACTGTCTTCTGACTGTGGAATCAGGTTGGGAAGCTTGGCACTTCTGCCCCTCCTTAGGGACAAAAGGGTGGTCATCTCTCTTCCTTAGTGGTTGGGAGGTAAGGGTGACCCTGCCCTTGTGTCCTTGGGGAACATTGCCTTTCTTAGACTTTCCAAGGAGGTCAGTGGCTTAGGATCGGCCCTTGCACAATGTCTTCTGAACCTCCCTAGCCCCGGCCTCTTTAGAGCTACTGGATAAAAAAATTACCTGATACAAAGCAACAATTTTATTTTATTTAATTAAAAACTTTAAAAAAATATTAAGAACCAAACCTGTCGTCTAAAACCAGTGGTCTCACAGCAGTAGCAATAATTTATTGTTGGGTTTGGGACAGAGGGTGTGGGGCGCTGAGGCGAGAGCCAGGAGGCGAGCTTGTATGACGACGCCAGGAGCTGCTGAGCCCACTCCTGTCCAGCAGGGCTCCAGAGGAGGAGTGGGTGTGGCTGGAGGACGTGGAGGCCTGTGGTGACACATGAAGGGCCTGTGGGAGGGAAGCTGCCCCTTAAGATCCCTCTATTCTTCCTGGAAACTCCCTCCCCAGGCTGCGGGAGGCCCTGCATCCTTCCTTCACCTTTTTCTCCTCTGCCTGCTTTCTGGGCTTCCCCCAGAAGAGAAAGTCCCTCCCTTGAGAGTGGGAGCCCCCAGTAGACCCCAGGATTCCAGGACCCTTCAGTCAAGGAGGGAGCCTGAGCAAGTAGTAGTTTCACGAGGCCACCTTTGCCAGGGGCTGGGTTAGCCTGGGAGTGGGGGGTGGGGCCAGGTGGGCAGGGACAGAGGGCAAGGCACAGCTGGCTGGCTAGGGCAAGGAGGAGGGTCCTTCAGTGGGGTTCAGCTGCCCCATAGAAAAAAGGGTAGTAGAGCGAACAGGGGTAGGAGAACATGAACTTGACCGCAAACTTCATTTCCTTGTTCTTCTTGTCCCAGCGGTAGATGGCCACAAGCAGCAGCTGCCCCTCCACTTTGCGGCCCATAACCAGGAAGCTGCCTGTGAGGCTGTCCAGCTGTGGGCAGGGGCAGCCTGCACCGTTCTTCATGTGCAGGACCAGCTTCTTGGTGTCTTTGCGCTTTAAGGGGCCTGCCTTGAGCAGTTTCTTCTTCTTCTGGGCTCCAATCAGCTTCCGGTCCCCATTGTCTATCTTGATCTCCTTAATGCGCATCTTGATCACTGTGGAAAGGAGGATAGGGGTGGTCTGGAAACTGTCCCCTTTGCTCGGGACAGCAGGAGCCCTACGCTGATACGAGGACACTCTTGGGGAGCCTGTTGAGGTGGGGGCTTGGACGGCAGGACTCATGAGGTTACATCCATGTGTTTGAAGCTCCTGTGGGCTGGCCTTCTATGGACATTGTAGTCAGGTTTTTCGCTTCAAAGGACAGTAGGGTGACATAGGTATGAGAAGGGTGTGTCCTGCCTGAGTCTGGAGCCCAAATCCCGTTAAGACCACCCAGTTTCAGAACCAGAGTGCTCCATAACACTCATGCCGGGGGGGGGGTCTTCAGAGATGGGGTCCCCACTCAGGGTGGCAGCTGCCCATCTAGAGGACGTCTTTGTGATGCAGGGTTACTGGTTTCTGCTATCCCTTGGGGTGGTTCTGATAGGATTTCTAGGAGTGTGTGTGTGTGTGTGTGTGAGAGAGAGAGAGAGAGAGAAAGAGAGAGAGAGAGAGAAAGAGGAGTGTGAGTGTGGGCACAGAATGTATTTTGTGTGTCTGTGTGGAAGTATGTTGTGGTATGTGTAGGAGTGTGAGAGAGTGTTTAGGGTAGGGAGGTAAAGTCCAGGCCTGTGGCTTGAGTCATCATCCAGGTCACTCACAAGTGGCCACAGAGACCCACTACAGCTAAGGTCAGAAATCCTGGGCTGAGGACCCTCTAGCCAGCTTCACCCTCCTGCAGCTAGCCTCCATCTCTCAAGAAGCCAGAGAATAATAACTTTGCCCACTCAGAAAGGGAATGGGCCTAAAACCTCTTCTCCTTTTTTTCCTCCCTGCTCTGCCCTCTGTATTTATAACAGCATTTTCTTTCCAAAGAGGCTACCAACATAAAGACTCCTCTAAGTCAGGATTTCATCATTGCTCTTTCTCCTATTTTTATAGGAGGCTAGGACACAAGACAGAATGAACTTTGCAAAGATCACATGTAGAAATCTGTGGCCCACAGTGAGCTTGGTCCTAACTGGCTTAGTTCAGTTGTCCCAGGATAGGAAGGGTCCAAGATGAAGCAATGGGGAACGCCGGTCACAACCCATCCTGGCCAGAGGAACACTGGGTACTCATCAGAGATTCCAGCAGACAGGGGACTCTCCTATCCCGGGGTCCTGTGTCCTGTGAGGGTCCCATCCATCTCTGGCTAAGCCTGCATCCCTGAAGAAGGACAGCCCAGCCACGGAGGCCTCTCTCAGCTGCTGTAGCCTTATCAGATGGGGTTGGCTCTGAACCAGGCTGCTGAGGGCAGGGTCAGGGCCGTGGTCCTGAGAGCCCGTACTCACCAAAGTCGCTGGAGCACATCTGCTCCATGAGGCCGTCAGCACTGTCCTCCATCTCACACTGGGCACAGATCTTGGTCACTGCAGAGAGAGAGAGAGCAGAGTGGGTGGCATCCCAAACAGCCGGAGCGGCACAGTCTCCTCCAATCACGTCCCTCCTCACCAAAGCTGCTCTGTGATTCCTACCCAGACAATGGGGTGGTGGCAGTGACTGAGTGGCTATGACACTAGAGATCGTATAGTGTAGGGACACTATGGCGAGGGGGCATTGTTTCCCCATGGTGGCTGCTGCCAGACCATGCATTGTGTTCTAAATTTTATCCCGTCTAATACTCCGCTTGTGAAGTGGGTGCTGCCTTACAGCGAAGGAACAAGGTGCAATATGAGCAATGAAGGTAGCAAAGCTCAGGGCTCATGACTGGGCTCCTGCCCTATGGCCAGGGTGGATGTGTTGCGGAGGTCAGGCATGTGGGCGGTCAGCAGAGCAAAGACAGCGTTAACTTATAATTTCTCAAAGAAAGCCCACACGACTCATTTTTATGGGAAGCATCTGAATGTCATCTGTTGGTCACACACACACCTTTCTACAGCCTGCCTATTGTCCAGCCCTGCCGCCATCTGACCTCTGTTTGGGTTCCCTTTTGTGCCTGCCTCCAGGTGAGCAAGTCTCTCAGGGAGAGAGGGTCATGGTGTAGCAAGGCAGGGCCAGGTGGGGTTCTGAGCCTAAAATTCCTGATTTCTCGGGCTGTTCTTGTTTGGGCTCCAAAGAAACTGTAAAAGGAACCTGTAGGGACTTCTGGGGACTGGGGATTTCTTGCTTGACTGGCTCTATTCCTGCTTGCCTGTGACTTTCAGCCTCCAGCATAGGGACTTTCCCCTCCCAGAACTCCACGGAGAGGGAGAAGGAGGAGAGAGAGCATCCTAGGACTAAGCAGTTAACATTAGCTTTGAGAGATGGGGTGGAGGGATGTAAGTAGGGGCCCAGCTGCTTTTTGGGGAGTGGAGAGAGAAGGAAAAGGGGAATGGAGCTTTGCTTGTTCCAGCCATGGGGTCTCATGGGAGCTCTTGCTCTGCCATGCTAACTGCCCAGGCAAAGATTGCCTGCTGGGTGTCACCCAGGGTGGAGTGTTAGGGGCCCAGGCAAGTTTGGAAGGGGACCTGCATTCTTGGAGAAAGAAGGAGGTGTGGCCTCCAACCTTGGGACAGTTTTGAGAACCAGCACAGTGAAAGCGCAGCTGGGATCAAGCAGAAATCAGTCATGATGGCAGCTATGGCACCAAGGTGCCGGCGGGAGGCAGGACTTGGGAGCTCAAGGAGCTGGAGCTTTACTGTCAGGGAGAAGAGGCTCAGAAAAGTTAAGTACCCCAAAGATACCCAGACTAGGAACTGGAGAAGTTGGGGTTCCAGGAATAGAAATGAAAGGTCCTCAGCTCTTCCCTAACCACCCGCCTCTTCCCAAAGTTCCCACATCGTCGGGGAGGAGAAGTGCTTGTCTGGGGGGCGCCTGCAGTTATGGTCAAAGACACCATCTAGCGAGCGACCCCAAGCATTGTATAGATGAGGAAGGCAATAAAGCATTTATGGGGTCGCCCCCAGGGCACCCAGGGATTCAGCAGCATGGGAAGTGGGCATGCTGTGAGCTGCACAAGGCGCTGATCAGAGTGGGGAGAGAACGAGCCGGGATATCCAGACCTCAAGTTCATTCAGGTGGGAAGAAGAATTGAGACAATTACTGAGCGCGGGGCATATGTGGTGTGTGCCTGCGCGCGCTGTGTGTGTAGGGGCTTGGCACCTATCCGGGCGTTCAGATAAGGGTTTGGGGAGAGGCATCTGTCGGTTCCTAGGTTGCTGCCCGCGGGATCATCGGGGTGCGCAGGGCGGCGGTGGCGCTACCTGGAGGCGCGGTGGCAGGCAGGTGTCCGAATTGTACCGCGATGCAGAGGTCGTTGTCCAGGGGGAACTTGTGGCAGTGCAGCATCTCGGGCCAGGGGAAGCCATAGGCCTCCATGAGCGGTGCGCAGCCGGCGCGCACGGCCTCGCACAGCGAGCGGCACGGGTAGATGGGCCGGTCTAGGCAGACAGGCGCGAAGAGCGAGCAGAGGAAGACCTGGGTGTCCGAATGGCAGCGCTTGGCCAGCAGCGGCAGCCAGCTGCTCGCCTGCTGCTTTACCTCGGCTAGGCTCTCGTGCTCCAGCAGGTTGGGCAGCCGCATGCGCTTGTAACCCACCGTGTGGCAGAGTGGCAGATCGGCGGGAATGTCGAGGCATTGCGGTGGCTTGGAGTAGGAACGGCCGTGCAGCGGCTCCGCCTGCCAGCCATAGTAGTCGTACTCCTGGCCCTGCGCCGGAGCCCCATGCAGCGCCCCGAGCAGCAGCGCCAGGGCGGCCGTCCACGCGCCTTCCACCACCCTCATGGCTGGATGTCCCCGCCCGCCCCGACGGCTCGGTGCTCGTCCCCCGGTTGGCCCGTGTGCGCCCCGGCCGGGTTGGACCCTGCAGCCGTCCCCGCTGTTCGGTCGTCCAAGTAGGTGGCAGTCTCTGCTCCGCTCCGCTGCCGGAGTGATCCAGGCACCTCCCACCTCGGGGCTCCGGCCCAGACCTCGCTGTGCCCTAGCCAATCTGCAGTCATTGGTCCCCCCCACCCCACCCTCGCCCCGGGTTGGCGGACCTGGGAGGAACCCTGGAATCCCTCCCTCCGTGTTCCTGTCCGGTTCCTGCCCAGCCTCACTCTGAGACCCTGGTCAGTCAACTATTCCCCTGCTGCAGCCCAGACCCTCTCCTTGCACCTCTTCCTGGGGCTCGGCATTTTCCTCACCCTTGGCCTCGTCTCCATCCTTCTTATCTCTCTCCGCCATAGTCTCTCCTGTTCCTTTTCTCACTCACTTCACCTGCTTATCTCTCCGCCTGGGCTTTTCCCTGCTCGGCTCTGGTTTCCCTTCTCCAACACCTCCATTGCTCTTCTCTGATACCGGAGTCTCTTGACCATCCACGCCCTCCTGGCCAGCCGGGCAGAGCTTTGCCCTGAGGTCTTCAAGTATCCACTGAGTTTCTGCCCAGAGCCAGGCACCTTACAACCTAGTGGGGATAGTAGGCCCAGTTATGGCGGTCAAGGGAGTGGGGTGAAGGAATTTTGGCTTCTATTTAATGGGCTCTTACTAAGTGCTATGGACACCGTGGCACACTGCAGAACCTTACCAAGGCCTCTTTCTAATGAAAGCTCACATCCAGTGGGTGCTAACTGTGCTTGAAGACTGCTGTAGGCACATTTCATAAACCAGCTCATTTAATTCCCACGGTAACGCGGTTAGGAGGGTAGGTACCATTATCACCACCACTTTACAGATAAAGTCGCCGAAGCTGAGGGCAGGCAAGGAATTAGAGCTGGCCGTTGGATCTGGTAGTCTGGTTCTAGAGTCAGAGCACAGAAACAAGCAAGAGGCCTGGATCCTGAGGGTTCAGAGCAGTGGAGATAATTGTCCCAGGGACACACAGCTCGGGTGCTGAAGAAGGCAGCCTTTGAATGCAAGCATTAGGCTCCAAAGAGGAGGGAGGGCTTCACTGTTGTTTGTGAAGACAGGCCAACCTGGGGTAGGAAACACTATGGGTGGAGGGAGACAAGCAGACATCAGAAAGGTGACATCCGGATCCCCACGCTTGGTGTCTTTCTTTTGTCAGTCTGGGTCCTGTCTTCTGTGGCTTTCCTGTCAGAAGAACTGGAGAAGAGGCTTGTAGGAGCAGACTCTGTGGGTCTGCCTTGGTCTCTGCCCCCCCCCCCCCAGTCTTCTAAGAGGGCTTGGATAGCGGGAGTGGGATGAGGCGGAGCGGGGTGGGAGGGAAGCAGAGTTGGGAGAAGGGGGCCTGATTCTACGGGAAGAAGTGCTTCTCCTCAGTTCTCCTTACCTTTTCTCGCTGTTCCTCAATATTTCCAGGGCTCCTGGCTTCCCAAGTGGTCTGCCGAGGGAGTGGTCGTGGAGAGAGGTGGAGGCCAGGCCTTATTAGTACCCCAACACATAGAGAGTGCTCGCTATGTGCCAGATAATGGTGAGGTGCAAAGGACTCTGGCCTGGACATAGTTGATGCAGCTGCGAGAACAGGCAGAGCGGAGGAGTAAGAAGGGATGGGCAGAGGCCAGGGTGTGACGTCTGACATGCTGGTTGACGCAGTTGAGCCAGCTGGGAGCTTCCCTTCCCTTTCTCCCTGAATGTGCAGTACAGAGAGGCCCTGTAGATGACCATTTAGAGGGCGAAGGACTGGGCACCGCAGAGCCAAGCTTGGAGGGCAATAATGTGACTGCATTACAAGGCCAGCTTGGAATTCTGGCCCTCGTCCCCACCTACCTGTGTGGCCTGGGGCAAATAAGAGGGATTCTGACCTTCAGTATCCTTCATGAAGTGGGACCTCCACTGAAGTTATTGGGATGGGCAAGGATGGTGAACGGATGGCCTCATGCAGCCCACATGCACAGAGCAACTGGGAATGTCAGATACCCCCAGAAATGAGCCTTTGCGTTGTTCTGAACATCCCCTGAGACGCCTTGGACAGGACTTGATGTGAGCTCTGAGAACAGCTCTGCTCCCTCTGTGATCCACTCCCTGCCTCATCTCTGGCCTGGCCATCTTGTGGTCGTCTTGTATGCCGTAGAGTAGGTGTGGCTGTGGACACTTACAGGGGCCTTGGGCCTCCCAGGTGGTGTGTAAGGTGTTGGCTCCTGGGCCTCCTGGTTTGGCTGGGCTGTTTTTGGCGCTGTTATGGATGACCTGGACAGAGGTGGGCATTGTTCCTCTGGCTGGTTATGTAAGGCCAACACATGGCCAGAAAGCAAGCCTGTCTGGGCCTGGCGGCTCAGGTTCCATCAGGCAGTGGAGCTGGGTTGGGAGCCTCCTTGAAGAGGGACATGCGCCTTCTTTACCTGGCGGCTCTGATGTGGGGAGGCCTGAGGCTCCCTGCCATGGATGTGTGATGAGAGCAAGGGGGAGTCCTTTTCAAGAGATGGAGCTGGAGTGCCCTGGACCGCTCAAGGCGGCCTCTTTCTGTGGGCAGCCCTTCCCCTGGCTCTGTGGCTGGGCGATCGAGGCTGCCTTCTGATGTGGCGCTACTCCTTGATGAATTGAGCCCAGGGCCTAGGCAGCTGGATCCAACACCTGGCACACTTGGCATCTGTCCGTCCTGGGGTGTATGCACCCTGTCTGGGTTCATGCTCTTCAGCTGGTAGAGGGGACCACTTGTTCAAAAGAGCAAAATTCCGTGTAGATAATTCTTGCATCCAAGATGCTTCAATTGTTTTTTTTTTAAATAAACTCCTACAGTTTTCTACATTTTTATGGTTTATTTCAACAGATCTCAAAATTGCAAGCCTTTTCAGAGGGTGTACAAACTCAAAATTGTACATAATTTAAAAGTCAATTTATGGTACAAGATAAATTAATGGATTTCAAGGCAATGGAATAAAACATTTATTAACAGGTTTCAGATTACATATTATTATAATGAACATATAGCCCATATGTCATTTTTGGGGTGCCATCAAAGAAGATATCCATAATTATCTGCAAAGGCCATTAAAATACTGCTTGCTTTTCCAACTACATTTCTGTGTGAGGCCAAATTTTCATCATATAGTTCAGCCAAAACACATGTGACAACAAATTGGATGCAGAAGCAGATAGAAGAGTCCAGCTGGCCTCTATTAGCCTGTACATTAAGGGGATTTACAAACTCTAAAATAGTGCTTCTCTTCCCAGGGCATTGTGGGTTTTTCCTCTCATTTGAAGAAACATGATTATTTTCATGAAGTTTGCTTATGTTAGCATACAATGATTTATTTTTTTAAAGATTTATTTATTATGCTTACAGTATTCTGCCTGCATGTATGCCTACATTTGAAGAGGGCATCAGATCCCACTGTAGGTGGTTGTGAGCCACCATGTGGTTGCTGGGAATTGAACTCAGGACCTCTGGAAGAATAGTCTTAACTGCTGAAGCCATTCTCTCCAGCCCTCAGTGATTTATTAACTGAATTAATGAATTTAATCTTTTCTTATCTTAAACTTCAAATTCTGTAAATCACCCTTTGGTATTCTAAATTGATTAACTGACTATACTATCAGTCGATAACAGGCTCGCAGGGGCCAGACTGGCGGTGAACTGGCTATGTAGGAAAGAAGATCATCAACTTTTGTCTTCCTGCCACCACCCGCTAGTGATGGATTTACATGTGCCACGGCCCCCAGTTTGGGATCCAGAATGTATGTGCTTAGAGGGGGTCAGAGAGAAAAATGTTTAAGATCTGCTGTAGCATGGTTAATAAAAACTCAGAGACAGAAATTGGGGTTTAACCTGAAGGTCAGAAAAACAAAACAGCCAGCCACTGGCTCTCACCTCTACCTCAGTCCAGAATGGTGATCCTGCCTCCAGGAATCTCAGAATGAGACTGAGACTGAGAGCCGTCTCCTCCTTTCTAGAGCTCAGATCACAACTGTCTAGTTTCTATAGCAACTAATATGGTTGCTAGGATTAAAGGTGTGTGTCACCACTGCCTGATCTGTAATGCTGACCAATGGGGCTGTTTTACCCTCTGACCTTTAGGCAAGCTTTATTTATTAAAATACAAATGAAATATCACTACAATCTGCTAGTTTAGTTACCTCATCAGTCTCTAAGAGAGCTGTCTAAAAATCTGCTTGTATTTCTCTCTCTCTCTCTGAGACAGGACTTCTCTGTGTATCTTTTGTTGACTTGGAACTCACTCTGTAGACCAGGCTGACCTCAAACTCGGAGATCTGCCTGCCTCTGCCTCCTGAGTTCTGGGATTAAAGGTGTGCACCACCACTGCCTGGCTTCTTTCTGTTTTTTTTTGTTTGTTTGTTTTTGTTTTTATTTGTTTTTTTTGTAGTTTGACTCCATTTTGTTTTACATACTTTGAAGCTATGTTGTTAGGAGCACAAAGCTTCATGATTGTTATCCTTCCTGTTGGGATTGTTCTCCTACCTGTTTGGGATATTCTTCTTGGTTCCTTGTTTGTTTGTTTTGAGAGAGGATTCCACTGTGTGACCCTGGCTGGCCTGAAACTCACTCTGTAGACCAGGCTGGCTTCAGACTCAACAGAGCTCCACCTGCTTCTGCTTACTGAGTGCTGGGATTAAAGACACGTGCCTCCTTGCCAAACTTCTTGGTTCCTGTCAATGCTTGAGGGATAATAGTTCTGTGAATCAACACTCAGCGAGAATCTGGGCATGTTTTGTGTGTGATCAGTGTTTCACCAACAGACAGACAGACAGACCACTCTACTGACACTCTGCTACAAGTCTGGAAGAAAGGCATTTTGGATTGTGCTAGTGATGTCACACATTTTCAATGTCCGAGCAAGGCTTTCCCATATGCCCTGGGTCCCAGCTGCCTCTTCTGTGATGTAAGGTGATCATTTTACTCCTCATGATCCACAGGGTGTGCTTGAAGAGCAAATGAGATAGAGAACAGCAGAACTTGGGAATTTGTTTTAGACAGGGGCTGATTGTGCCATCCTGTCTGGTTGAAACTCTCTGTGTGACCTCATGGAGATTTGCCTGTCTCTGCCTGCTGAGTGCTGGAATTTTGAGTGAGGTGAACCTGCCTTTGCCCTTTGCTCTAGGTGAGGCTAGAAGCAGTGTCTACCTCTGTCACTTCTTCCCTCTCCTTTAGCTTAGGCACGACCTCCCAGGAGAGCAAGACAGACTCTTGTTAATTTCAGAGTCTGCTGGAGTCTCTGGCCTTTACAACCTCGTGTCACCACTGGGGTGTTGTCTTTATCCAGTTGCTGTTCCGTGTGACTAATAGAACCATTAGTGTTGCCAGGACCCGCTGTGCTTCACCCCCATCCTGCTGTGCTCCATCCCGCTGTGCTCCACCCCCTTTATCAATAAGACGAAAACAGAGCTGGGCCTTTTGACTCCAGCTTAGCGCATGTCCCCTTACACCCCAGCCTTTCTCTGTCCACTGCAAAGCCAGCGTCCATCCAGAACAGCCCAGCCTAGGCTGGCACTTCTGCAGAGCAGCCCTTGTCTTGGTGAGCAGTTTGGGAAGAACCGCTTGTGATTCCTGGGCATGCTAGGAGCAGGAGAATGACACAGAAGAGCCTGAGATGGGCTCCCTGGTCACTGCGTCAAGTGGTCCTGGAGAGGTAACCTCACCAGAGAGGTAATCAAATGTCTTGGTGAAGAGTATACACTCTGAGGCTGGAGTGAGTTCTAATTCAACAATACCACTTGACTTTGGGTGAATCACTTTACCCCCCTGTTTCATTATCTGTAAAATGGGGATATTAATTTTTTACAGTGTTAATGAGAAGGTTAATTTTAACTTTTTAAGATGTCTCATGGAGGCTTCAAAGTCTTGAACGTCAAACTCCTGTCTTTACCTCCAAAGTGCTGTGATCGTAGGTATATTCTGGGTCACCCAAGTTTTAGACTTAATTTTAAAAATTGCTTAGAAAAGAGCAGTGCCCATAGTAGGAGCCGTCCACACAGCCATTCGTGGCTGTGGTTGAGCATTGGTATGCCAGTGGTACTGAGAGAGTATCACCAAGTTCTGTTGTTCTTTGTTCCTAAATTTCTCTTCTATCCATCCAGGCCTCCTCTTTCCCCTGCCTCCCCTACCCTTTTGGTCTCTTGAGCTCACATGTGGCTTAGGCTGACTCAGCATCCTGAGTGCTGGGATCCTAGGCCTACGAACTATGCCTGGCCACGCTCTCCTCTTTTGCCTCTCTCCCCATCACGTTCTGCATCCGCTCAGTCGCACCACATTTCACTTGCTGGAGGGGAAACAATGGGCTTGCCATTCAGTTCAAGACCCTCTGGAGTGTCCCTTGCTCTTGGCATAAAGGCTGCAGTCTGACCATCTCTCCTGGTGGGCTGTCTAGAATCCTGAGGTGCACTTTGCAGTCGGCATTTCCTCGATGATCCGGTCATCACGTTATTGTATTTTTTGGTCACTTTTTGACTTCTGTTCACACTGAGAGTTCCACTAAGGCAAAATCATTCATTTCTCCTGCTTCTGGGTCCCTGTCAGTCACACAGTAGGCCCTCAATAAGTGTGGTATGGATGGATGACGGAATGGGTGCTGTCAGGAAGTGCTGAACCAAGACATCTTTGTGGTCTAGAATAATCCTGAGCCCTGTTGCTTTTCCTGGAAAAGACAAGGAAGACCACGAGAGTCGCAGGGTGACTGTGGAAGCAGCAGGTGGGGACCGAGTGGAGTGGAGGAAGTTGAGAGGTGTGCAGGCTGCCTGCTTCTGAGATGTGGAGAGTCTGGGCAAAGCCCTGTGCACAGCCTGGCTTCTCTTCATGCTTCCTCTCACGAAGAATTTTGTTTAAGCCTGGTGGTGGCGTCTCAGGAGACAAAGACAGCAGATCTCTGTGACTGCAAGGCCAGCCTGGTCTACAGAGCGAGTTCCAGGACAGCCAAAAGAAACCCTGTCTCAAAAAAAAACCCAAGAATTTTATTTAGATTTATTTTATTTTGTTTGAGTGTTTTTCCTGCATATGTGTATATGTGTGTGCATGAATGTGTATAGGAATGTATATATGCATGCGTGTATGTATGTATGTATGTGTGTAAGCATATGCTCATGCATGCATATATACACATGTGCATGCATGTGTGTATGTACATGCACGAATATATGCACATATGTGTATGTATGCGCATATGCACATGTGCTTTTGCATGTATGTATATGTGTACATATGTGACTATGTATGTGTGTATGCGTGTGAGTATATATGTACCTACGTATGTGTGTATGTGTGTATATATATGCTGAATGTGTATATGCATTTGTGTATGTGTATGTATGCATGTGTGCATGTGTATGTATGTGTGTATGTGTGTGTATGCATGTGCGTGTATATCTGTGTATCCATGTATGTATGTGTGTATGTGCACCCTCTTCATGCCTGGTGCCTAAGGATGTTAGAGAGGGCAGTAGATCCCCTGGAGCTAGAGTTATAGGCAGTTGTGAGCCACATGATGTGGATTCTGGGAATCAAACTTGGGTCCTCTACAAGAGAAGTATGCATTATTAACCACTGAGCAATCTCTGCAGGCTACTGCTTCCTCTCTTGGATGCAGTTTAGATGGCAGTTTCTGTCCCATCTGGTTCCACAGTCGTTCAGTCTCAAAGAAACACACAGAGGCTTATATTAATTATAAACTATTTGGCCTATTAGCTCAGGCTTATTATCAACTAGCTCTTACAATTTAAATTAACCCATAATTCTTGTCTATGTTTAGCCATGCGACTTGGTACCTTACTCATTGAGGCATTCTCCTCTTGTTTCCTCTGCATCTGGCTGGTGACTACAGACTGAGACTTTCCTCTTCCTAGAATTCTTCTAGTCTGGTTGCCCCACCTGTACTTCCTGCCTGGCTACTGGCCAATCAGTGTTTTATTAAACCAGTACAAGTGACAAATCTCTACAGGGTACAAGAGCATTATCCTACAGCAAGTAGCACCTGGCATTTTGCTCTGTGCTTTCCCTATATGTGGCCTCATTTAATTATCTCAATAGCATTGAGAGAGAGACGTTATCCCCATTTTATATGAGGAAACATGCTCAGAGAAGATAAGTAACATTCTCGGAGTCACATAGCTGAGAAAGAGTACCAGGACTCAAACCCAGGACTTCCGTTTGTGATCTGTGGATTCCTGGCGGCATGAGAAAAGTTGCTGGGGGATGTCCTATCTTGTTGGACCCTGAGTCAAGCTGCCTTGCAGAAGGGAGCTGGAGGGTAGCAGACACCTCAAGGAGACCAAACTTGCTGTAGTTGAGGTGGTTTGGCTTCTTGATCTTAGCAGTGCATAGTCTAGAAGGCAGGAGGCCATTGATGAAAAGTACATGAACTTGCGATCGTGGTGTAGAATCACTTTCTGGTTGGGAGGAAAGCTGCTCAGAGGTGCCTCTGTGGGAAGGGGAGCAAGTGTGTGCACAGAATCAAAGACCCCTCTCCTCCCAGGCTTTGTTTCTATTGCTTCCAGGCTGTGGGAACTTGGACAAGACCCAGTTCCCTGTGCGTTGGTTTCTTTATCAGCAAAACGGACGGGGGACAATTCCTCCAAAGGTTTATAGACAACTGCTCTGGTGTTAGGTGCAAAGGCCTCTGTGCAGTCGCAAGCACAGGGTTTCCTTTCTAGCCCCAGACACGTGATGTGGGTTGCTGGGGGCTCCCACATCTCAACTGTTGCAGTTGAGAGTAATTCTTGATTCTGTCCTGACCACCAGTGGCTATGGAGGCAGGATTGAGAGCTATCAGCCATTCTCCACAACTCCCCAAATCAACACAGACACAGAACGGCTCATTTGCCTGTAAATAAAACAGCGATTTCTGTGATTGGAGCTAAATGACATGCTGTTGGGGCTGCAGCTCCTTCCCAGGCTCACAGAAATCAGCCGGCAGCCCTTGAGGCAGGGGAGGGGGAAGTGACTGGCTTTTCAAGGGACAGCAGGTCAGAGGCTCTGGGGGCCCCTTGGTGCTCCGGGTGCAGGAGAGGAAGTCAACACCCCTGGGAGGGACCTAGGGGCAGGACTGTGGAGGGCAAACCCAGGGCAATAGTGTTTGGGGTTGGGACCAGCTGTTGGGGAAATCCTGGGTAGACAATGGCCTCATTAAGGAGAGGGCACAGGCAGGCAGGCAGGAGCTGGGCATGGCCACAGCAAGGGGGAGAATGTGGGGAATGGAGCCTCCTCTTACTGGCCCAGCCAATGGAGCAATTGTCCTCTGGTAGGAGGGAGCTGGGGTCCAAGCCTGGGAATGACTGGAAAGTTGCCCTTGGGGCAACTGAAGTGCTCCTTGCCCCTTTGCTGGCCTGGAATGACTCCACTGCTGGTGGCTGAGAGTTCAAACCTCAGCTGGGGTTGCCGGGCCTGACAGTTCAGGGTGTGGGTCCCCACATGAGGCTCCCAATTCTTAATTGCCCATGTCTGAGATACTGGAACTGTTCAGGTGGTCTCTAACCTGACCTAGCTGGCTTCTGTGGCTCTCCTGTGGGACTCTACCCTGCTGCTCTGGGCTGGTGGGTCACAAGGGCTCCACTTGCAAAGTGGAGGTTGAGCTGGCAATGCTTCTAGGCAGGGTGGGTAGGTCACTCCCACCTGGGTGAGGTGAGGGGTTGTGGTCATTGGGATGCCTGGGCTACCCCCTTGAACTTAGTGGGCAACATCCTGCAGAACCTGTGTGACCGGAGGTTTCCTGTCCCAAATGCTGACAGAGCTCCTGCTGAGATGTATCAAGAGCCTAGGGCTTCTCACCAAGTGACAGAGGTGGCATGAATTCAGTAGAGAAGAGAGGGGCAAGATCATTAGGGCTGGCAGTGAGCCCCAAAGTCCCTCCCAGCCGTGGATCCTGCCCCGGAGGACACCAGGGCTCTTTTGTAGCCGGAATGGCACGCTGGATGGTTCCGGATACTCTGATTGGCTAGGCATCTGTTCTGAAGGGTCAGTGTTGATTCTGATGGACAGATCGGCTGGGATTGGCCCGGGGCTACTTTGTGCTAGCTAGTTCTTACTCCTGGCTTTGCCTTTTGTTTCATTCTAAGAGAGGTGGTGGGCAGATCAGGTGTGAAGATTAACTTCCTGCAGCTCTGAATGGTTGCTGGTTTTCTGGCTCTCCTCCAACATGGCTGATTCGGGCACACGTCATAGAAGAAGGGAGAGATTTTACCTTCAAGCTACACAACCAAGTGGCCGCTGTGGAGAGAAGCTGAACGGAACATACACCAATCCCAGGTCACCTACAGAGATCCCAACTTAACACCCGGCACTCGGCACTCTTAGGTACTGGGATTCAGCGGACCTTAGACCAGGGTGAGAAACGCTGGTCTTGGAGGTGGTTTGTGTGCATGTGTGGGACTAGAGGTCAAACCCAGGGCCCTGTAGAGGCAAATGCTCCACTACGGAGCTCTATCTACAGCCCATGACTATCTCGGGAAGGCTGTGGCTGGTCCTCTGCTCTGTGCCACCTCATCTGCTGGACACAGCCTTGCTCCAGCCTCCTGCTCATGGGCCTCCTTTGGGATAAAGTTAAAACTCTTCTTTGTGGAAGGTTTCATAGAGCCTGGCCTCTCTTCCCTGCCCTGGTCCCCTGTCTCTTGTCTTTAGCGGTTTAGGTGATTTCACAATCCTCTTATTTGCCCAGTCCCCAGCTTAGTGCCCCAGTGGATGACAAGGTCAGGGGACAGTGTGTGCCCCGCATTAAGTCTTCCATCATCTAAGCGACTAGGCACACGGTGGGGAGGTGTTATCACCTTCCTCCTGTGCATAAGATGGGAAGACAGAGGTGAAATGGTCGCACAGTAGGGAGGCTCCAGATGGATGTCCCTCTACGGCTCATCTCTGGCTCCTCATTCTCGCCCCTCATTGAGCCTGGTCAGCATTATGAGAGCCGTCTCTCCCACTAGTGAGGACATTACGGGGGGTTCTGCTTCAGGAGAGAGTCTCATGAGACAGCTATTGGGGTCCTACTGAGGATGACTCATAGTAACAAAGGGTTTGGGAGTTGCAGACATTGTCTGGTTCCATCCTCAGCACCAGGGAGGCTTCTGCAAACACTCCCTAGTTTGCATTTGAGGACACTGAGGCTAGAGGTTAGCTTCCTCCCATTCGCCCAGGCAGTATGAGATGGCGAGGTCCAGAACAAAGCGCTGATTCTTTTGCTCTGACATTCTGTCCTTTTCTCACCGCCCCATGAGTCCAGTGGGCCACAGTCAGGAAAGCTCAAAGGCCTGGATGGGTCCCTCTGCAGTCCACAAGGAGGGTTTGTGAAATCAACTTGGGGTTTGCTGGAGACAGAGGTTAGTGCCTTGCTGACCTGGCTCAGGGATGAGGCAGCTGGGTCAGGAAGAGGTGCATTCTTTCCCCTTAGCTCATCATCCAGCCTCTGGCTTCCTGGAATTTCTGTTTGGATTCCAAATTACTTGGCAATGAGTTCTTTTCCCCACAGGTCCTGCACACAGGAACTGAGCTCCCGTGCACTTCCAAATCACACCCTTTCACACCCTTTTCTAAAGAGCTGGTTGAGAGCAGCCTAGGAGGCCAGTGGTCGCCTCGGGTCTGGTAACAGTTTTCTGAGGAAGGCAGAAAGACGTGGGCTTCTGTGCCCTAAGACCCAGGGTAAGAGCAGCCACTTTCTGTGCCTCCTCTCCCAGCTTCCGTCTCTCAGCTCTTCAAGGCAAATGTAAACACATCCTGGTGAGCGGCTTCGCTGAGATCATGTCTGAAGAGATGGTGAATTGCTTTAATTGATTAGTGGGAGGTCAAGTTTGCCAGAGATTGTGAGTGGAATCTCGGTAGTGGTGAAAACATTCTCTCCTGCTACTCCAAGTGAGTGGCCACAAGCCACGTGTGTCTGGGGCTATGGCCATTCCAAGTTAGTGGCCACCAACCACGTGTGTCTGGGGCTATAGCCATTCCAAGTCAATGACCACCAACCAC